GATTTTTGGCGGGAAAACATAGACAGACCTGGAAAGTCACCTCTAGCAGACAGACGGTGAGTCAGAGTCTCAGCCAACAAGCAGCCTCTGAATCACACTCACATGCTCATACACAAGCATGGAGCTCAGATATAAAGGCGCACGCACGCACGCACGCACGCATGCAAACACACACACACACACACACACACACACACACACACACACACACACACACACGCACATACACACACAGACAAACCCGACACCTTGAAAGCACACTCAAACAATAGCCGCACCCCTTGCAGTTGCCCCCCTCCTGCACACACACTTTGAGATGATGTCACCGTTCTCTCCCTCATTGCTACACAAGCATGATTCAACATTTTGTGTGTGTGTATGTGTAATAGTTGTAGTATTCATGAGGTGAAGGTTCACATTGTGGGTCTGACGTTACTCATCATTGACTAATCCTCTCTGAACTATATTAACAAAACAAAATTACACAGAGCGGGAAGGAGGGTTAAATTGGAGGGAAAGAGTGTTTTTGTGTGTGATTATGTCACTGTGTGTGTGTGTGTGTGTGTGTGTGTGTGTGTGTGTGTGTGTGTGTATGTGTGTGTGTGTGTGTGTGTGTGTGTGTGTGTATGTGTGTGTGTGCGTGTGCGTGTGCGTGTGCGTGTGTGTGTGTGTGTGTGTGTGTGTGTGTGTGTGTGTGTGTGTTTGCTAGGCACAAAAAACAACCTTTGTCCCCTGCCATTAACACGTGCACATTACATCACCCCTTAAGTCTTAAATTATACACACACCCAGTAGCGCTCCTGCTAACTCATAGAAATCCAAGCACCTTTCTGCTCTGTCTCTTTCACACAATTACACAGAACTTGTAACAGCTTCCACCACAGGTATTTAAAAGTGTGCGAAGCCTAATCACATGCATGTTAGCTCCCTGGGAAAATAAGGGTACATTTAGAGTCCACACACTTCCTTTAAATGAGCAGTGTAAAAACACGTTGCCATCACCTCCACTTCAGTTAAATGATTAGAGCCCGGGGCCAAATTAAACATCCCCTGGACCCCGGCCTGGGAAATGAACTCATAGCTAAACCCATGACATGGCCCACTAGACATGAAAGCCCTCATAGAGCGGGACCATTCAGCAAAACGGGGGCTATGGCAGAGTGGCAGCGGGCCCGTACGGATGTGGCAGGAGGGCGTGATGGCAGCACCGTCCCAGCATGCTCTGCCAGGCAGCGTGGCGGGAAAAAGGATCAGGCGTGTAGTGTGATGCCAGCGCAGGTGCACTGAAACACACGCAAACAGTCACAGCCTGGCAGGACGTGGAAAGACACGTGGCACATTTCACACTCGACAGTATGTGAGTCTGTGTGCATGGAAGTACAAAATAGTCTGTGTTTGAGTATGGTATGTTTGCATGTGTGTTTTTTTTATTACCATTCATGAAATTTAAGGGGAAGTGAGATCTAAGGTGGGTCGCACCAGGTAAGATGTAGGCTGCTACTCCGAGGAAGAGAAATATCAAACATTATATCAGGAAAAAACATCATGTAGCAGTGCATGAACATAAACAGTATAATTATTTTTGGAATGATTGGCGTCACATCAACTGTTCGGGCTTGGTGTCAAAAAGGAGGCAGGATGTGTTACAGTATACACCTGATTGGGATCTCTTTTGCCCAACTTCTCTGACGACTGAGCTGTTGAAATATTCATGGCATGGCAAGAGGGGTTGGCATATAGGGAATTAAAGGAGTGGCACAAGAATATATGCTGATTTATTCGCTATCAGTCACATATATCAATATACGTTATGTCTGGCAAAGCAACCTAATGAGGATTTCTGAACTCAAAAACATTGTTATTGTGGATAATTAGTAAAGCATTAAATATAAATACCAAATGGTGGGATTAGAAAACTATTTTAATTTTTATTTCCAAATCTTTGCACATTCTTTAATTGAAAACATACATGGAATAGATGGTTAAATGTCACTGGATGGTTATTTCTTCAGACAAGAAAAAACATCATAGATTTTCTCAGATAAGCGGCCAATTAAATACAAGCGAAACAACGTCTCCATATCAAACAAGCTTCTGTTTTGCTTCCTGTTGTTGTGGTAACGTCAACGGTCCTTGTTACTAGCTGATGATTAGCAGAAAGTTAAAATAATTTACATGTAGCAACATGGAACATAAGAGGCCACCGAACAGAAAATGTACTGAACATTCTAAAAGTGAGTGGGGACCTGAGTGAGAGTGTATACACATACACATCCAAAGTGGGCAGTGACAAGAAGAAGCAATATGTCACTGTAGAACAAGCTGTAGTAAATGTCAGGTTTCTACAATAGTCAATCTGTAATTTGAGATGAACTATGACTGAAATATGACATCCCATGTGGAGAACAACCAATCATTACAGCGATGTACAATACATCTGGATCCCTCTGTTCCCCAGGCGTGATGTGGTTGAAACAAGAGGGTTTTTAAATCCCACACAGACACTACATCATGTTAACGATAGGGAGGCTCTCTTCAAACACTAAAATACCGTTTTTCTTACACAGAAACCGAGAAAGGGTGTGTAGCACAACCCTGACTCACCACGTTTACAGATGGCTGCTGCCTCGCCACCTCAGATAGACTCGTGCCTTGATCAATGATACACTGATTGTCAAGGCTGAAAACTGAAAATACTTTTACTTCAGGGAATGATCATGGTTTAGTTTGAAATAAGGTTAGGGAACATTGTGGTTTGGATTAAATGTCAACTTAACTAAAGGTTACGGGAGCTTTGCCTTCATAGTCACTGAGACAGTGATTGTGAGACAAAGTATGACACTAACTTTGTAACTTAAAAGGTCAAGTATTATTATTAGCAACCAGTGACTCTTTTGCAGTTTCCACAGGAAGTGAAAGTAGTGGGCAGTGGAGAGAATGAGTATATCCAAAAAAACACACCTCAGGACATATTATGTTGTTGAACACACATATAGAAACATTGTATCTTTAGTAGGAATGTTAATACATATATATTTTTTGTGTTTGGCCCCAAAAATCCAGTTTGAACTTAAATCCTTAACACTTACATGGTTCTTCTAACAAGTGTGGTTTGTGAGCTTAAGGTCAAAGAGGTCACAACATGTGAACATCTGTGATTGTGTGTGTGTGTGTGTGTTTGACTTTACTTTCTTTGCAAGATCTCAGTTATTCTAGTAAAGTGACATGTTTTAAATGCTTGTCCAAGGGCAGAAATAGCCATCTTGTTATCTCCATGACTTATCATTATGGGCCTCAGGTTGCGTCAATCAACACCATGTCCGCCCCCTGAGATCTCAAAAAACATATTTATCATTCTCCGAAGTAATGGCTTCCCCAAGGGCACTTTTACTCTCCACTCTTTGTCTTTCCAAACTCACTTATTCCATCACACACACACACACACACACACACACACACACACACACACACACACACACACACACACACACACACACACACACACACACACACACACACACACACACACACACACACACACACACACACACACACACACACACACACACACACACACACTACTGGTTTATGCGTGAACCTGCCATTAGCGCAGCTGTGACACAGCACGAGCGAGCATTTGACCTTCAACTCGTTAACGGGACAGTGCTCAGACCTGTGAAGAGGCAGGCCCTCCAGGAATCTGCATCTGGTGAAAACACACACACACACAAACCTACAAACACCCCCACAACCTCACACATTAATTGTATAATTTGTTTCGACCATGTCCTTGGCATCAGTCCACATTGTGAAGGGCATTGTTCAATTTGGATTTGTCGCTTTGTTTGCTATCTCAGGTGAGAACAATAGGTGGAAGGGTAAAGAAATAAATGTCTATTGACCACCCTGACCCAAAGTGTGCCCTGATTGGTTGTGACCCCTCCTGTGACCTCCTGGGTTGTTGTGACACATTCGGTCACATATAAAAATGTGAAAAGGGAGTTGTAATGGCAATGTTGACTTTTTTCCTGTTGTGTTGCCATTGATAACAGGCAGGTGGTCGTAGTAATCGTACGGAGACACAATACAGAAGATTTTCCAGGCTGTATATGCAGTTTGGTTTGTGGTTTATTGAAGTTGTTGAGCATTACTAGGGTTTTTCAATTCTGCAAGTGACTGATGTTCAGTCTCTGGGATGTATCTCTATAGGTCTAGTAAGAACTGTGTGCTCCCTCTGACTGTGCCTAACCTTTCATGTCACCAATGCCCCCCATTATCTATCCCTGTGCACATAATAACCATCACCAAGTATCCAATATATTACTGCAAGATACAACTAAACATGATAATATGACAGAGAGAGGCTCTTCACTCTGACAGGGGAGAAATGGCCCTCCACTGCCCCCTTCTGGTGTCTGTAACACTTAAGGAAATAGAGTTCACTATTTTCTTCTTCAGCAATTTTCATGATTTTAGAAATACCTCAGCTCAGGATCAAATCAAATTCTTGTAAAGTTTTTTTTTTTTTTGGTAAAAATACAGATATTGCTCTTTTATCTCAAATGAATCGCTAGTGTCTTTTAGTCAGTGCACAGCAGGTCACTTGAATACAACATTAATTTGTCTTCTCTAATGCATTTACTGAAGAGAACTAATCAATGAATCATTATTTACTCTGTTTTATTTTTTATTTTATTGGAACCTACAGACCTGTTAAATGATACACACACACCTACACACACAGACACACACACAGTGCACGCAGACACTTGAGGAATGAACCCTATTACCTTTACATCAAGTATGAAAAGGGCTACTAAAACAGCACAGTCACAGTTTTACACAGAGTTGCCTTTCAATGTTACAATCCATACACAATCTGTGCCTTCACGCACACATGGACACACAACCCTACACACACAGACACAAAATGTATACAGACACATATACACCCAAACAAAGAGGCAGTTCTCTCCAGAAGGGTGTGAGAATATATGTATACAAATATAATAATAAACCTCTATGTGTGTTTCTGCGCTCGGTGCAGATCCAGGATCAGCCCGCGGATCTCCTCGCGCTTCTGACGCACGCGTTGCTGTGGAAACCAGTTCTCCAATCGCAGCGGCAGGTCGAAGTGCACCACAGGGTTCTGTATGAAGCTCTCCATGTATTGCAGCAGGTAAACTCCACAGTCGCTGCAGTTGTTTTGTTGAGGAACTCTGCAGCCACTGCTCCTGATCGACTCCCCCAAAAACACCCTGGGTGTCCCCCGCCTCACCCCTCACCATACTTGCCAACCTTGAGACCTCAGAAAGCGGGAGCATTTCAAAACCACCACGGGGGGGTGGGTGGGTGCTAGTGGATCGCCGGAGCTGTTAGATTAACATTAACATGCTTATTGTTGTTGTAAGTGCACTGCCTTGCGGCCTGTAGCACCATCCTTGATGGAGCATATGGAAAGGAGTGAGCAGAGGGTAGAGTTGTCGATTCTTGTTCTTGTCCGAGTGGAAACAGTCCTGAGTAAATCTGATTTTGTCAGAAATTGGGAGAAATATGACCCCTGGAGGAAACCGAGAGAGGGCAATGAAATCGGGAGGGTTGGCAAGTATGCCCCCCACTCCACCTGCAGGTAGTCTCTGATCAGACTGCAGACGGTCTCTTTGTGCGACAGCTTCAGAGAATCCATCACCAGAATGCACGGCCGCTTCAACACCGTGTCCCTCCGCCAGCTCTGCTCCGTGCACTCCGGCGCTTCGGACTGAGGTCTCAGATCGTTGGACGAAGGTTTACCTGCAGCTGCAGGACAGGTGAACTCTTGGTGCTGAGGCTCCTCCAGGCCGGGGAAGCAGACCACCACCAGGAACCAGTGAGCTTGTTGGGTGATAGGCACGAACAGGAAGTCTTTGGAGAAGATGTCCACGTGTCGGGTCCAGCTGGGGCCTAATTTATAACGCGTTTCCACTACAGCGCGGAGCACGGTTTAAGAGGGCTGTGACGTCAGCGGCCCGTTTTTGGTTGCGTTTCCACTTGGCCTAGTACCGGCCGGCGGGTCCTAATTCACAGTTTTTCTGACCTCATAAAATCGTGGGTCTAGGGCCAGAGACAACGAGGCTGAGTCGGGCTGAGACTCTAAACTAGAGAGAGAATCGCTGGCAAGGGGGCTACAACTACAACAAGATGGACATATTTGACCGTGATTTAATTGTAATACACGTTTCAAAATGATGCCGAAGTAACAACATACTGATACCGGTTAGTAAAAACCATGAATTAATGCTTTGACAAGTCTGCAGACAGACGGCAGGCGAAAAACCTTTTAAAATGCGTGTTTTCTAAATGGAGATTGGCTAAGCTAACGCAGTATATGCTCCGACCGTCCACACTCACAACAACGGCCTATACAGACATAAATAAAGCAGCGACTGTATTCGCCATGACACAGGCAGTCTGTGGTTTGTACTTGTTTAACTTTTGTCTAGTTTCTGAACATATATGAGGAGCTGTGAGCTCTGAGTGCTAACAGCTAACGGCTGTGTTGTTTTTCTGGGGTTCTCATTGAAGATGACGTCACGGCTCCGCCTACACTGCGTTACTATAGATACTACCCCAGTTCCTAAACTGTAATGGAAATGCGCCATAAAGTGAGCCAGTCCTAACGAGGCCTAGCCATACCTAGCGAGGCCGAGCGAGGCCGTGTAGTGGAAACGCGCCATTACATTGCCCTCTCCCGCCTTGCGTAGGATTGACGTGGGAAGGTTGCTTACGTAGTACAAAGCAAACAAATAGGTACAGAAATGTTCCGACATTTTCCGATTCACAAAACATTGCGTACCGGCGAGGGAAGTGCGTACGGCACTTCCTACGCCTGTTTCCCTTTATAAATCACAATCGACTCGTAACGCCCATATTTGCCTATAAATAGTCAAAGAAACGCCCATTAATTCATTCATTTTGACTGACTGCATGAAGAAGATCGCAGGAAATGACGATAGAACAGCTAAAAAAGACATCTCACACCGTGTCAGATTTTGGTTATTTTGGGGAGGTCGAGATAAATCATATTGTTTGGTGGATGCAGTTTGAACCAGAGTAGCAGCATGGAAGTCGGATCGTCACCAAAATAAATAAATAAGTGGTCCGAAAAAAGTTAATGACAAAAAAAATACACCTTCCTCAGGCAGTGTGTTTGTACCGGGGACAGGAGACAGCCACTTGATGAGAAACTCTATGAAATGATTGGGGAATCCCTCCGGAGTGGAGTCATGACGACTGGATCTGAATTATTTTGTTGTATTTGGTGGTTTGTGTTCCAGCTTTCGATCAGCAACTATATATCCATAATCCACCAGTTAAAGGAAGTACAACTAATGTGTTGTGTTATATTAGCTGTACAATTTACCACATATGGTGTTCTTAGTTTCCATACCTCCTGTGTTTTACGAGCGACTTACCAAGTTTTGGCAAACGGCATAAAACACGATTAAACGTGATAGTATATAAAACCATGCTCGTATCTACAACCTATAGAAATGCAAAACGGCGTCAGTTTAGACGTAATTCTGTCCTCCTGCTTACCGCATCATTTATGAGAAAACATTTCATAACATTAACACAACATATTCGAGGTGGTTTTAAATAACATATCCGTATTTATTTATTTCTCCAAGTTACGTTTGTGTGTGCACTGAGGAGTCTCAAACAGGCGTTTGTTTAATCATTTTAAGATTGGCTTTAATCAATGTTTGAAAATGAATTCTTCATATGATAAATGAGAGGTAACATTTTATTTATGGTATTATTTCCACATATTTCTCTCCATTCTTCCTTCTGCCAACGGTGTCGCAGTTTCTCGTCTCTCCCGTTGTGTGCTTAGTGCGTACGCATGGGTTAGAGTTTGCGTGGAGGACCGCACATTTTCCCGTCAAGTTAGTATTTTATAAATCGCAAACATTGCGTAGAAACTGGCGTACGCCATTTTTTGAGCGTATATCCCTTTATAAATGAGGCCCCTGGTCTTCACCCCCTGGTCTTCACCCCCTGGTCTTCACCCCCTATGCTCTTCCATGCATGGCCCATCATCCATCACCCTTCTCTTCAGTATGTGTTCTCTCTGATCTCCATCTTTCCTGTAAACTCTTAAAAAGCTTCCTTTGGCACTGATGTTGCGGGGTTGCATCTCTTAAAAGGCTTCTTCAGGCACTAGAGTTGCTGGGTTGGAAAATGGAGACTGGGTGAACACCGATATGAAATTCAAACCGGTCAGTATGGAACATGTATATGTCATTTTGAACTTTGCATTTAAAAATGGTGTCGGTTGCTACGTTTGGACGGTGTTCCTAGGGGGAACCCCTTTTTTAAGTGGGGGGGTGTTACGACCCCCTCCACTCCACTAGGGGTCTCTGCCTTTGTGTTCTGCTTGCTGGCTCTTGTTTGTGTTTCAGTGATCAACCTGAACCTGATGAGCCACACCTGAGGGGGGCTCTCTGACTCAACTTCTCCTACTCCCAACTCTGCGCGTGTTACAATATCTGACCTGTTGTGCTGTGGGTGTAGTTCTACCGTATACCGGTCCTTTTTGTATATTTTGAAATCTTAGAAAGTTAAACTAAATGAACCTGTCTTCTAAGACACGCTTTGATTTGTTTAGGAGTGAGACATCCTCTTTTTTGTTTGAACCTTTTTCTCCTGTTTACTGGTAATAGTAGGTAAGAAGCCTGTACTTTATTTTGGTTTATTTTGGTTTATTTGGCAAGTTTAAGGAATACTCTGTAAAGACGATTTTTGTTTGTTATGTTGGGAATGTCTCACCTCTTTTTTAGTTCATTAAATCTCAAAAAGCTGATTTCCTGTGTCACATTGACCTGTTCTTGGGAGTGGGAAAAGTCGGGAGAGAGCAAACTTTGTGCTGCGCTTAGGTTCCCCTAGGCCTGGGCGTAACATAATTGGGAAGTGTGTTGCTACACTGAGGTGGCCTGTTGTCTGTGTGTGTATATATAAGTTCATATCCTGCTTACACATGTTTACGCAGACTAAGCTGTGATTTTGGGACACTGATTTGACCAAACACTAAAATGGAGCTTTAAAAAAAAAGGTGGTAAATGTTAACCTTTTTGCGTTATAAACAGTCAATTAAATTGTGAAATAAGCTTTCCACAAAGTGTTTCCAAACAGCATCAGCATGAGAGTTTCTGTCACCTTCTCTTTAGTCAATTATTTTCTCTTTCAAGAAGGCAAACACTAGATACAGGCGTTAATATTGGCACATCTTTATGTTTCAATACAAAATGACATTTTGAGTTTTAAATGTTAATTGGCATTTAGGGGAATTCAAAAAAATGTATGTAAGCACTAATATTTTAGAAAGAGTCACTTTAAATGCATGATGTGTTGAAGGGATAAAAAGTACTTTCCAGCAGTCTAACATCGCCTCCTGTTGGTGAGAGTGGTCAGTACATGAAGATTCAATTGCCTTACTGAATCAATGATCAGGGATTTAATGAGGAAGGATGGCAGTAATCTAAATACCCTAAATTAAATGTGAGTATTTTTGAAAAACACATGACACACTGTATTGATCACAAGGAGTTTTAAAACTGGTTAATACAAATAAAAAATAAAAGTAATTAGGTCATTTGAAGAGGAAGAGCATCCGTTAGGGCAAACAAATGTAAAGATGTGTCTTGGTGTGTCAAATCAAACCCTCTAACAGTAAAGTACAGTTTTCTTATGCCTCCAGTGTCATTTTTGTATATTGTTTGTTTGATAGTAGAAACATAACAGATATGTAACACAGCTCACAACAGAAGTAAATAAATAATCATAATCACAACTTGTTACAGCCGGTAAAATGCATTGTCTATTTCATCTGTACATTGTTCATCCAAAAGTCCAATAATCAGTCGGCAGATTACAGATTTCCGATTTGGATTGTGTTAGTGCTACAGCTAAGAAGATAATCTGTGATTAGTAGGGGATTATAGTTATTTAGAACAACTTTTCTTTTAACTGTTGATCACATCTTGTCACTATTCAGTTACAAAACCAAACAAAGTACTGCACTTCAAAACCTTTTTGATAAGGCCATTTTTGATTTTAAAACTCAATTATTGTTGAATTGGGAAGGACATTTAAGATAAAATAAGAAGTACTTTATTGATCCCAATTTGGGAAATATTTGTGTTGCAGCAGCATAAAAAGACATGGCATCGTACAATACAAATTAAAAGACTAGAAATAAACAAGAAAGTAGAAAATATACATGTTGAATTACAAAATATACAGTAACAAATAATAAAACAAGTTATTTTATTTACATAAGTATTTTGCTAATGGCATACTGTGAGATGTTTTTGTGTGTAAAGTGTAAAGATTAGTTATTTTTCACAAATAAATACAGAACACTGTTTGTAGGCATTAAACCGTCCTTACAGAGTCTTGAATCAAACCTATAGGGAACACTGATGGATCATTAGCTTTGCTTCAAGATAGAAAGTGATCACCATTCACAGTTTACCGCTCTTATCTCAAAGTGGCCAGGAGTAAACACACACACAAATTATGCAATCTCACACACAGACACACACTCACACACTGACTGTGGGACTTTCTCGCAGGCTAGGAGGGCTGATAGTTAAGGCCTGTATTTGATAGTAAACACAAACTGACGTCACCAAACACTGAGATTAATCAGCGGCAGGCAGGAAAGGACCGACACCTGACACACAGAGGTGTGTGTGTGTGGTCTTGTTTGTGTGAGAAAGAGATAGAGAGAGAGAGAGAGAAAAGAGTGTACTGTATGAAAGTCAACCAAATTCTAACAAAACACAAAGCCAATACACACTCAGACAAACTGTCTGTTTTAACTGTGTTAAAACATATTTTGATAGAATAGTTGTTGTAAACGTTCATCACTGTTTAGTCCAGGTCCAACTTTGCCATTCTGTATGTGCCATAGTCAGAGGTGGAAGAAGTACTCAGATCTTGTACTTAAGTAATAGTAGAACCAGAGTGTAGGAATACTCATGTTACAAGTAAAAGTCCTGCATTCAAAATGTTACTCAAGTAAAAGTCATAGCATCAAAATATACTGAAAGTGCCAAAATTAAAAGTACTCATTCTGCAGATTGACCCATTTCAGAATAATATTTAATATATGTTTTGATTATGATTATTAATGCATTTAGGTATTGTCACAGCTGGTAAAGGTGCAGCTAGCTTTTCTGCAAAGTAACTAAAGGTATTGCATTAATGTAGTCGATTAAAAGTACATAATTTACCTCTGAATTGTAGTAGGGTAAAAGTGTAAAGGTCCCATGTCATGGCCATTTCTACTGATCATAATTCCATTGTTGAGGTCTACTAGAATATATTTACATTGTGCAATTTTCCAAACTCACATTGGTTTCTCATACAGCATCTCTGTATAGTATGTGTATTCACTCTCTGTCCTAAACGGCTTGTTGGAGCTCCTGACCCCCCCTCCCTATGAGCCCACTGTGCTCTGATTGGTCAGCTCGCCCACTCTGTTCTGATGAGTCTACCACCGTTACAGCAGAACATCAGTGATTATGTGTTACAATGGCGTTAGCAACCAGAAAATGACACCAGCAATGACAAACAGATGAGAATGCTGCGTGGGGTCTGGGTGCCGTGTTAGTGGGACATTGCGCGGCTCGCTGTTGGAGCGGACAGTGTGAGCTGGCTTGCTGGTGTTGTTTCCTGGTTGCTGCGTGGGGTCTGCGGGGCGGTGGGACACGACGAGGCCCGGCCCGAGCTCGGCCGGAGCACACACACACACGGGCCGGGCCTCGCCGTGTCCCGCTGTCTAAGGCGGAGTCCAGGCTGAGAAATCCACGGAGCTGCAGCTGAGAAAAATAAGGCTGGCCGAGTGTGTGTGTGTGAGGAGCTCCGCGGATTGGTCCATTTGGATCGTCGTTACGTCACTTGGTTCCCGGAAGAAAAAAATGGAAAAAGAAAATCTCCAACGAGGCGTTCTGGGGCAGCATAGACACATCTTTTCTGTGTTAGAGTTTTACTCGCCACAGGGTGTACTTTGCAGACAGTTTACATGCAGACAGTTTACATGCAGAAAAAGCTACATAACACACAAGGGGACGGATAATAACCGGAAAAGCATGACATGGGACCTTTAAGTAGTAAAACATTGAAATACCCAAGTCCCTAAAATTTGTACTTAAGTACAGTTCTTGAGTAAATGCTACTTAACTCCGCTTGCCATAATTAAGTGCACTCAATTCTCTGTACAGTTAGGGTCATGTGCATAGTTTCATTATTACCTATTCATGCATTTCAATTGTACCATTGCTCCAATTGCACTAAAATATTCCACTCTTTTATGTATTTTTTTCTTCTTATGTATATTGTATGTTGTAATTTTATCATAATCAAAAACAGCCAAATCCATGAAAATGTATTTCAACTATACACTGAAACCTTTGGATGTTCTGTTTAGCTTATGGAGTGCCAGAACAAATAGTTTTAGTCCCACATCCCTTTAATATAAACATGAATTCACCTTACGGCCTCACAGTCTGTTTTCTTTGACGGGGTTGACCTCACAAAAATAACAAGAAATTGTTCAATATGTTTCAGTGGCAGTCTGGAATAAATTATGGCAATATGTTCAACTCATCGAGTCCATTGACACAATAAGCTCATTAAAATGTACAATGCAAACATCAGCACAGCTTTCCAAAGCCACTCAGTGCTCTGTCAGTCATCTGTCATCCATTGTTGTGCTCTTAATCCCACCATTGATGGTGAGGTTCATTTCCACCAACTGGGACCCAGAATTAATCAGTGGGCTTAAATTAGCCCAGGGCAATTAAAACACCCAGCAACTGGTTAATTAATTGACCTTGGTGGTCATTTAACAATTCATGGAATCAATAAGGGATCAATGATCAGCAGCGACCTTTCATGCTCACAGCAGATGGGCTCTGGCCACTTAGATGAAACCATAGCTGGATAACAGTGAGATGAACTTTGCTTTATCTCCCAGACAGATGGATATGTATAGCCCTCATCCTCCATCACCTCCGTCCCCCCTCCTCCCTTCTCATCCTCAACTCTCCCCCTATGGCTATGGGTTTTATTCTTTAACCCTGAGGATACAGTGAAGATAAACCTGAGTGCTTAAGTGCTTAAGATGTGTGTTTTCTCTTGTTGCATCCCAAATAGAGACTTATCTTTAGGTGTTGTTTCTTTTATTTTGATAAGGGCTGCAAGTAATGATTCTTTTCAACATGAATTAGTCTGGTGATTGCATGCTTGCTTGGTCTAATCATGAATGTCAGAAAATTGTGAAAAATACTGAAACATTTTTTTCTTGTTTGGTCAGAAATCGACCAAAATGTATAGATTTAAAAAACTGAAAATGTTAACCTTTGTGTTGTCTTCCCGTCAACTGCACACATGTTTCCCCTGGTTTGACTTTTTCTAAAGCATTTAGTAAAGATCATAACCCACATCTGTGTTACACCTTGTTCAGACAACTTTGTTTTATAGTGAATAAACCTCATCAACACAAAATGAAACATTATTAAATAGGTAAACACGTCCCACATGTTTGAGTTTCAGAAATATCCCTGTATGTTCAACTTCTGTCAGGACTCTGTTTCAAAAGCTTTTTTTTATGGTAGCACAAACAGACTCAAGTTAAAATATATTAAAAAAATATAAATTTTCTTGCCAAGAACTTCGTATGAAAAACATGTTAGATGAAATAACCTCCTTTCCGACATAAAGACATTTATAGACGGGTCGAATTTGACCCAAACACAACAGGAAGTTTACATTTTATAATAATAAATGTTGATACATAATTATAAATGGTATTTTAGATTAAAAAGAAACTCAAACAAGAAGTCAGCTGGGCAAACTGTAATTTAATTTCATTATTTTTTTCTATTCTTCAAAATGTGTTTCTAATAAAATCATTCACCATTAAAGAACACAGGATTTAAAGGCTGTTACAAAACCAGGTGAAAGGCTGTACAGGAAGTCACCAAGTTACAACAGGCATTATTGTGTTATATTATTTATTCGATTCTGTCTTATCCCTTGAATATTAAAATATTATTCGTGTTGGATTACTTTACATACACACAGTTAGTCTTCTCTGTAATTTCCAAAGAAATAAACAGTTTAAAAAGTGTGAAAAATTATATATATTTAAATATTTGTAAACATAATGTGACTGCTCTCAGTGTGACATCAGCCTCTCCTCATTTCTTTGCCTCTCTCTTGAGCCGAGCTCCTCTCCTGACCCCTGCATGGCCAGACTTCATGAGGACAAAGGAGCTCTGCTCTCTAGTACATCCACCTCCTCCCTCCTTCTCCTCCTCCTCCTCCTCCTCCACCTCCTCCTCCTCCTCCACCTCCTCCTCCTCCTCACCTCCTCACCTCCTCCACTTCTCCTCGTTTAAACTCCCCAGACTCCCCCCATCCCCCAAACACACCCAACAACGCACACCATCCCCCACACACCATTTCCATCCTCTTCAATGTCTGCTGATTAAAGTCACAGCGATGGGTTGTGGAAGTCAAAACGTTGGTTCTTACACTGGTAATACCAGCGGAGGGAAAATACAAAACTGATTTCATCATATGACATTTTTTTTAAACATTTCACATGATTTAGGAAACTAAAGCCATTAAACCTAAGACACAAAAAATAAAATAAATTGCAGTAATTAAACAGTTTAACCTAATTTGTAACTGAACATGTTTTAGCTTATTTGAAGTGAATGTGCCTGCACGTTTCCTGCTGAATTTGGTTTATTTAACTCATTTTTGGATAAAAACATCAGCAAAATTAAATGTAAATAATGTTATGATGTATGGAAACTAATTAATTTTAATCATTGTACATCAGATTCACACACATCAAATAAATATAGTCTTTTGTTGATCGTGACTCGTGAATGGACTACAACTTTTATATGAAAGAAAAAACTTAAGATTAACAACACATATTTTGTTTCCCAAAATACAAGGAAATCTTTATAATAAGTTACTTAAATAACTACAAATCTTGTCAGAAATATTGCACATTGTTCTTAATGATGTATATTTGATCTTTTTTGAACAGCAACGTAGCTCAATGACATGGAGGTATTCGACATCTCCTGGCTTTCGGTAGAGAGATACTTGTTAAGCATTTTTCATACTTCAGTGCAAACTTTAAAGGCAGACATGTATGCGCTTTAATTGATACTACAATCAAGGGTCTGCATACACCTTGCTCACACGAGAAACCTTATGCCAGCAGACAGAAAAGCTTCTTTGTTTGTGTATTTGGCTGAACAAGCAAAAGTAAAAAGGGGAGTGACATCCTAATGAGAATAAGACTAATGGTGTGGAATACAAACACTATGCAGCACATACATTTTTAATATGTTGGTTACATTCACCCACCTGGGTCTTTGCACCCATCATTGGCCTTTAGTGGGATGCATTCATTGTCCCTTTGGCAGTGATGTCATTGCTGATTGGTCTACCCCCACCCAGCTCCTTACACACACACCCTCACCCTCCTCTCTCCCCTGTAGCACCGGCCAGCTGTCTCTCCTGCTGCTCTCAGCTGACAGAGCACGGAGGAACTAGGGATGGAGGGTGGGGGGTGGGGGGGGTCGACAGCTGAGCAGATGCAGAAGCCCCTCCTGGGTTTGCCGGGGACAGGCTCTTTCCCAGCCACCCCGCAGCCGTGCAGCTGCCCAGGCACCAGCTGTCCTGATGAGCGCACCAAACAAACCCAGGACTTCCTCACTGCTGTGGTGGTAGTGCAGCAGCTCTGTTCCAGACCAAAACATGCATCGAGATGCACAATGTCTCCCCTTTGACCCCCGACTGCTGGCTCGCACACAACAAAACACACACGATTAGACATCGACCATCAGATCTGGGCATTTTTATGCAAACAAATTAATATAATTGATTCAACATGAATTAGTCTGGTGATTGCATGCTTGGTTGCTCTAATGAATGTCAGAAACATTTGAAAAATACTGACTTTAGATAGATAGATAGATAGATAGATAGATAGATAGTACTTTATTGATCCCAAATTGGGAAATTGTTGTTGTTACAGCAGCATAAAAGGCAAAATATACAAGAATAGAAAGAAAAATAAAATAAAATAGAAAATATACATGTTGAAATAGAAAATATACATGCAGATATTATATATACAAATATATATATATATTCCAAATATATGACATTATGGAATATGGAGTATAAATATTGAACAGATTATATGAGTAAAATGTACAACGTGGTTTTATTTCTAGAGAAACTATGGAGCAGAGAGTTGTCTTCCAGCCAGAGGTGATTTATTGTTTGGTCAGAAATCAACCATCGACATTTAGATCTTGGCATTTTTATGCAAACAAATTCATATCATATTAGCTTCTCATAAGACAGACAAAGGAGACATAAAGAAGCAGTGTATAAATATGAGATTTTTCAGATTTCGTATATCAGCAAGGTAACATGGGAACACCAGCTTTACTTCCCAAGGCTTGGCAAACATTTGAACACCTAAAGCAGGCCATTACTGGTAAGACAAGGACATTATATTTCAAATTTGTTCTATAATATACACTATACTTACCTTCTGCCAATGTATGTGAATGTGCAACTTCTAAATGTATTCTCTTTTTCTGAAAAAAATCCCCAAATGTTTAACATTTTAAAGATGCGAATATTACAGTCTGGCTACACAACCCCTGTCAGTGACTGTGAGAAACTCACAAGTTACATAAATGTCATTTTAAGGCGCAAACACAATGATTTTCTGAGTGTCTATTACACGCTTAAACAGTCTTATTCTTGTTTTTGTCTCAGTTTTGGGAGCAGTATTACACGTCCTTATGAAAACACGTTTAAGATGATATACTTGTTATATTCAGTTGCATAGTATTCAACACGTTATGTGTAAAACCCTACCAGAATTCACCCACTTCCAAATTAAACACACTTCTGTTTTCTTTCATTAAATTGTTTTCCCATACCCAAGTTTCATGTTAATCTTCATCAGTATATTTGTTCATGATTTTCCTAATCACTTGAATGTTTGTGTTTGGCACACATAAGCTCTGAATGACTGAATGTTCTCGCACTCCTCTCTTGGTCCAGAAAGCTGAATCACTTAAGCATCATCCACATTTCAAGATTGTGTCTGAAACAACGAAGCACATTACAGGCAACAACATTTTGAGATTTGTAAAGAAACCATATTACCATTATCAGGGTTCATACACTTTTTCACCAATGACTTTTCCATGACTTCTCCATGACCTTTACCTAATTTTCCATGACCAAAAAAATTACTCTTTCTCAGCGGTACCACTGAAAATGGTTTATTTGAACATGGAACAGGAAAATAAGGTCTGCATATGAAACATGTTGTGCCTATCTAAAACAAATCAAATAGGCTTACTAGCTTCTACAGGCTAAAGCAAATAAAATCTCTCACCAGCAAAATACCTCGTCAGTTAAATGCCATTTTACGTTTCATTACTATACGATACAGTATGTATTATCATTATAGTATTACTATTTCGGCGATTAGATAAAACATAAATTATATTTGATGCAACTTTAGTTACATTTCCATGACTTTTCCAAAACTTTGGGAAAAATATTGTTTTCCATAACTTTTCCAGGGCCTGGAATTAGCATTTTGAATTTCCATGACTTTTCCAGGTTTTTAATGACCGTAAGAACCCTGCATTATATAATTTAAAGTATGTGTTTTACTCCACTTTGACTTTTTATCTCCATTCAAAAACATAACCCTTGAACAGGAGTTACACGTTCCCCAGTCTGACCTTAGCTTATCCACTTAAGTTACACTTAATGTTCCCATTAGCACAGCTGGATAAACAGACCTGAAGTATGGACACAAATACATCAGGGTAAAGATACTTGATGGCTGCCAGACTGCAGGATTTATTTCCACTTTTATTTACCAAAGATAGTTAAATCACATCTTAGCCACGACACATTCAAACATCTGCTATTTGTGTAATCAGCAAATGTATTTGATACTTTTATACCTAAAATACAATTTATTTTCTAAATTATTCTCTTTATTCTAATAGGGTGATAACATAACATTTGTCCCTGTAATGTTATCCAGTAAAGTACTTCTGCAGCACATGTTGAGCCTTAGTTAATTTACGTTTATATTTATTCAGATCAATCACTAAAGTTCATAAGCTTTGAAAATACACTACTGGAGGGCTGTTGCTATGCTGGGCATGTTAGGTGGTGATGTGGTATTATTGAATATATACAAACATGGTTTTATGGTAGTTTTCATTAGCTTTTACCAGTATAAATGAATATAACAATGGGATAAAATACACATTTGAACAGATGTAATATTTGCCCGGGATTATTAATCTGAGCTTGGATGATACAACTGGAAGCTTCTGTGTCTCGATCTCCTCATGTGCGTGTTTATGAGTGTGGGGAGGGGTGCAGGGGCTGATCAGATGACCAAGTAGAGAAGAGTGAGTGTGTGTGTGTGTGTGTATGAGTGTGTGTGAGAGAGATGGAGGGAGGCGGGGGCCCCAGATGGGTAATGGATGGGAAGTGTGTGTGCGGTTTGGAGTTGGCAGAGACACAGCTACATGCCTCTGGTGGGAGAGTGAGGGTCAGAGCTGTTAACACCAACGTCCGTCCAGCTGACACTAAACCCAATTATTCTGTGACTTTATATATGAAAAAAAGTGAAACAGTAAATGAAATTACAGGCTAATTTGATGTAATGAAATTGTACATCAAAATGACACTGTAATTGCATTTCCTCTCCAACAGCTTTGCCTACAAGTCCGTTTGATGAATGTCAAAATAACCTTCCACCGTTGCTCATCAAAGGCAGCTCACTCTAATTGAATTCATTATTTATAATTGAATCCAGTCACTGGGCAGGACAGATGGACTTTTTTAATACATTTGAAACCAGAATGTTGTGTTTGTTCTCCCCATTTTCAGCTAAAATGAAATATAATAATGGTAGAGTTAGAAGAAGAATGTACACTTAGCAGGAAATGCTTCTATCATATAAGTAAGACCACTATGGGATGCAAAGAAACCGTGCACTCTCAACCAAAACATGTCAAAGCAAAGCACATGGACACATTTTCACAAAGAACTCTAATCCGACATCCAGATAATTAATTATTTCTTTATTTATCACTGACAAAATCGAGATTTGAAATGAAAATCAGAGGTTTTGAAACACATTTTAGAAACTCTCCGGTGTACCACACTAAATCAACGTATAGACAATTGTCTGATAACAGAATTTGAAACACTAAAATGTATATACAACTTCATTATTATAATTTGAAAGGCTACTAATGCCTCTGGGATCAGGTGGCAGCAAACACTGACCAGCAGATATCTGATATCTAGTAAAAAAAAAGGCGTGTGAACTGTCTGGCAAACTGATGCGCTAATGCTACCCTCCAGATAGTAAATACAATTAAACAAAACCAGAATTTCATGGTAGTTTTCACCCATTTTCAGGCTAAATAATGACATATGTCCAGAGTTTAAAAACAAATTTAGGCTATGAGGAAAATGCTTTTGACAAAGTTATAAGACCATTATAGGATGTAAGAAATCGAACCAAATAAAACCAGTTATATATTATGTATATTTTCCACTTTCTTGTTTATTTCTTCTTTACATTTTTATTGTACAATGCCATGTCTTTTTATGCTGCTGCAACACAAACATTTCCCAAATTGGGATCAATAAAGAACTTCTTATCATCTTATCTTAAAGTCAAAGCACATTGACACATTTTTTGCGGATAAACTTTAATCAGACACAGCTACAGTTTTTCTATTTTTTATGTCAGAGAAATGGAGATTTGAAAGGAAGGAAAGTCAGGATGCCTGGAACCACATTTTAGCCACTGTGAAAATATTCAAATGTAAATAAGATCATTTGTTTAAAGGGAGAGGGAGCAGTCAAAAGTGATATCTGATATCTTGTAAAAAAAAAAGGCATATTAACTGTCAAGCATCTGACTTTTCACGGGGAAAATACAATGAACAGAGAAAGCTGTCGGGGGTTTGCGGATAAACTTTAATCCGACCTATAGCTACAGCTTTCCATTTTTTATGTCATAGAAATTGAGATTTGAAAGGAAATTCAGGGGGCCTGGAACTTCATTTTAGCCACTGTGAAAAGATTAAAAATATAAATAAGATTACACTTCTTTAGGCAGAGGGAGCAGTCAAAACTGATATCTGATATCTTGTAAAAAAAAGGCATATTAACTGTCAAGCAGCTGACTTTTCACGGGGAAAATACAATACGTAGAGAACAGAGAAGGCTGTCGGGGGTCGGGGTGTCCTCAGGGTCAGGCCCCCGCTCGGCCCTCATTAGATCAGGAGAGTCTCAGCTGCTCCTCCCATCCATCACAGAGCCCCTGAACCAACACTTGAGGGACTGACCATAGGGAAAGGTGAGCTTCTGTCCCCTCCCTCAGTCACCTCTTGCTGTCGTCACACATCAGCAGCCCTCCGACTCCTGGCTACTAACTGTTAAGAAGTGGGCGGCAGCTGCCTGATGGAGCAGGCTTTGGGGTTGTTTCAGGGTTTAGGGGAAGTTTGTAGCCTGGAACCAGCCTCTAATCCTCTCTACAGTAAATTAAGAGTTATTTTGCCTAAGGGGGAGAAATAAAGCAACACAAAGGCACATGCAGCACTTTTATCTGAGAGGAAAAGAGGTTTGGAGACCTCAAAGCAAAAAGGAAAATGGATGTAATTTAGCAGGAGGGGGCGGCGATATGAGTCTTTGTTTGGTCCAGTGTCACTGATCAATAGCTTCTCATGCTTTGAAGTTACTCTAGGATTTGCTTTG